ATTGAAACGCACTCTCTTCGCAGATAACGTGACTTCGAGATTACGCGCGCCACGCGTTTAAACTTGCGTTTCAAACAATTAACAATATTGGGCCGCGCAAAGAAAGTTTCGCATAAAATAGTATTCTTTACCACACTAGATAGATTGTTAGTAAATTGATCGGCAAAGGGTCCGGTGTTGAAAGGGTTGATTCTACGCTGACATCGCATCGCCTTTCGACGACGACTCGAAAGTTAGTAAAATCGGCTGGCTGTAACGGAGAACCGCGGTTTCTATCGTACGATCCGGTTTTGCGTGCAAATCTAATAGCTGCTACTTTTCACTCGTAATGAGCGGCGCGAACGTTCATGCGTGTAATGGGAAAATGCACACTTACGCGCGTGTTTCCGCGTCGAAGATCGAGGTAAAAGATTGTAGAATTGATATCCGAAATGCTTATTGCCCGTATGACTGGAGGATTCTTCTCGGGTATTAATTTAATCCGACATCACTGGCACACTTATTCCCTCGTAAATTCAGCGCAGCATATGGCTGTCCCGAGCTTTATTGGGATAAAAGGCGCAACGTTCGGTTTAACTCATATCATTCAGACATTTCTAGATTCAACATAAAACATACTGCGATGAAGACACCACGTTATAAAATGAACATTACGCGTTTTTTACGAATTCACCACTCGTTAAACATCTAGGATGAATGTTTAGGAAAGCTTTCTCGAACGTGAAGTTCCTTATCGTTTGCCAATATATTGTAGATATTTTGGTGACGCCGACTTTGCTTGCAGTTTAGCAGTTACTCGGTCGCTTGGCACTGTGCCATTTGTCCGTCTTGAATGAAGCGGAGTCACAGTATCGCGAATCGTATTTTGTAAGCGTGACGAGACGACCTTGTGCGGGTCAGTACCACGCATGAGACTGGGATCTCTCTCCGCGTACCACCTTGAACGTCAATCGCGAATGCGCCTGCGAAGATAAGAGAGATACCACGTCGCGGTTCACGGCCGATAACGAGACGAGGTTAAAGTGGTTGCGAAGCGTATTATCTGTAACAATGAGACCGTTGCGGCATCAAGCGCGAAATAAAAACATCTATACAAAACATCAGCTCGGGAAATATGACGCGAAGAATTGATTTCTTGAACGAATAATTCCAGAAATCTGTTAAGCCCAAATCTCTCGGCACTTTCTCATTTTATATGAATTTTCACTCGTCTTATTATTTTCGTCTTACTTTTAGTTTATCGCAGGAGAAAGTGGCGATTGATTAATTAAATCATTTTGTTAAATTTTAATCTCGTACTTTAAGAAGTCTCTTTGAATATGTTTAAGTCTCTTCCGTTTACTTTCAACAATTTATCTGTTGATTCTGGTAGT